CGGGTCTTGCCCGTGTCGAGATTGCGCTGGAACCCCCATTCCCTATACTACTGACAGAATGTACGACATACTGCAACTAGTTTTATTAAAAAATCCTTGAGGCTGCTTTCTTACGTATCACGTGTTGTGTATACTGATCGAAAAATTCCGCTCGCACTAAAATTAATGTTCGTTAAATTTATGCTAAGAGGGGTTAAAACACAAGGTAGAGGTCAGTATTCGACAGTTAAGATAAACGTAAGAGTATAATAATAATATGTGATTCTTATATAGCGCATTTTCACATTGTCTCAATGCGCTTTACATGCAGTGGAGGACTTTACGGGCTGCGTCATTTTAAATGCATTTTAAAGCCGTCATTTGTCTTTGGTGAGAAGTTCTGCCACAAAATGTAAAGTGAAATAGTAAGAAAGCGATGAAAACGTGGTCATGTTTGCCGATCACGAGAAAGGAAAAGTGGGAATCTTGATCTGTCCGAGGCAAATTTTGCTTGCAACTTGCTACCGTCTGGGGGAAAAAAAACAAACAAAAAACAAAAAAAAAAAAACAGACAATGCCGAGTGTGACACTCTTCTTGCAACTTGTCTTCTGCAACGATTTGCGGAAATACCCAACCTCGTTCCCAGAGCCGTTGTTTCTTTAGTGCGCAGTGAGAAATAACGGCTTTAGTTTGGAAACGAATGCCAATGTTATACGATTTTACGCGTGCACTGTAGTTAGCATGAAACATGCCTGCCGGGCATGGCTGCCGAGGAAAACGCCCAGTTTGCGCTTCTCAACCACTTGAAAAACTTTCTCTAAATGCACATGGAGCCAGGGAATTTAAAGCGTATCATGATGTAGATTTTAAGGCTTTACACCGGAACTCAGCATTTACTAAGATGGATGATACTTCACTTTGCGCATTTGAAAACTTTTATATCGATATTTGCGCAATATAAAATAATTAGTTAAGTTTTTAACGTGCAGTGTCCCAAACTCGGAATTTTAATAGATTGTCTTGTCAATGGATCGAATTTTGTAGAATGGATGGTGCGTCTAGTGACTCAGTTCCGGTCGGTCGTTCAGTTTCAGCTCGAAGCGCGTTTGAGCAAGAAACGTGGTGTGAAGACGGTTGCGTAAAGGTCAGACAGGTTCAAGTTTCACTCCTGGATGAAATACCCTTCTACGATTTGAACGGAATAAATAGTCGAATTTCTCCCGATGTTTTGCTCTTTTTTCCTTATCCGCCGTTCTTGTCAGCCGTCGGAAAAATGCAAAAAATAAAATGAAATAAAATAAATAATAATAATAATGAGAAAGAATCTCAAAAAGAACATCTAGACTGTTTTATTTTTTACGAAAACGCAGCAGGCGCTTGGTATGCTCATCGGTATGATAACAAATCAATGATAGATAATCTGGCTGACAAAATCCAGATAAAAAGTACACGTCATTTCATTATTGCGTCCGGTACAGTTAACTATAAAAGGCGTAAGATCCAGAGCCAGAACCGTCGAGTAAAGAGGGTACCGCACAACTAAGGCGTAAAAATGAGACTTTACACAATCGTTGCTCTTCTCATCGTGGTTATCCTTACTCTCGATGCTCTAGGAGAATGCGAGGGATGGTTTGGTGGAAGGTCAAGATCACGAAGCAGTAGTTCTAGCAGCATGTCACGGAGTACGTCTGTTGGGAGATCGCGTGGCAGTAGTCGACGGACGAGTTCTTCTAGGAGGACTGGAGGGATCTTCGGCGGTGGATCAAGGAGAAGCAGCTCTAGATCAACGAGCAGGACTAGTAGGACTCGATCGACAAGCAGAACTAGTGCGGGTAGTCGACGGAGGAGCTCTACTCGAAGAACTAGTGGGGGATTCTGGGGTGGCAGTCGAAAAACCAGCAATAATTCTCCCAGCAAGACAAAGACAGTTAGCATCAAGAAAACCGAAAGGTTAGAGGTTTTTTCCCCACACAAAGCCAATTTAGATTCAAGAGAATACTTGTCGAAATTCGTGTTGCTATTTCAAACCCTAAAATAACCTCTGGGCTAATCAGTCACGGCACGGCTAGCTGTAATTTAGCGGAGGAAAAGCAGAGTTACCGGAGAAAACACCTCAAATCAAGAAAAAAAAAGCTCGATACAGGAATTTTGCTTTTTTTAAAAAGAACACTATTGATACAGCTTTTACTCCGACGAAGGACTAGCGTCCGAAACGTCAGTACGTTTTTTCATCTTTTCACGGTGTATAATTTACCTTTTTATCATTACTGTTTCATTAGAAACACCGACGCAGCTCACACTAGTTTTTAGCTAGTTATCTCTTATTGATAAAGACGTTGATCTCTCATGTTTCAGAGGTACGACGATCACTGCTGGTAAGACAAAAGCTCACGTCAACAATTTTGGAAAGATCCGAGACAGAGATGAAACAGGACACAGAACTGGTAAGAGAACTAGAGTTTGAAGGCTCGCTTGTGTTTTTAAACTCTACCGATCCATACAAGGCTGGATGAATAGTGGTTGATTTTATGAATACATCGTAAGCATGTGGCTCTGATTTTTGCGGCGGGAGGAAAATAGGACTCGAAGCACAGGAGAGAACCAACAAGCATCTCCATTCACATGCCAGGTTTATTTTACATCATCACGTTGTGGCAGCCATGACAGGAGGCAGGAACAATTGATAATCTGATTTTCATGAGAAATTATCCAGTTTCCCGTCATGGCTACTATCCAAAACGGTGCGGTGAGAGGTGGGGCATTAGTAGCGCCATAGTTAACTATAGTAGCGTACACCATCCGTGCTCCCCTAACATTAATATCGTCCATACGCCGCAATTATATTGTTACACTCATACCTTAAATCTAAAGCTGCATTAAAAGCTATAATCAAATCAAATTCTCTTCCAAAGGTCTTGGCACCCTTGCGAAAAAGATGGTTTCACAACCAGGAAAGACTATCGACGCCATTAAATCTTTCGCCAAGAGTTACAAAGATATGAAGAAAAAGAACGTCGTGGGTGGAAACCTCCCTGCGCATCGCCAAGCCAACAAAGACGCCACCTCGAAATCCGATGCGCAAACTGCCGGCGCAATCAGCGCACTCAGAGAACAATACAAGAACTTTCGCATCAAGCAGAACAAAGACGGTAGTATTCATATCGGTGATACGAGGACCAAGAAAGAGAGAGATGACACGATGAATGCCAATAAGCAGGGAAGGGACGATGCTAAAAAGAAGGGATCGAACTGATTGCGCAGAAAAGTAGGCTTCCAGGGGGCAAGCCTGTAATTCATAGCTAGTATTGTTTTGTATTGAGGAGGTATTTTACTGTGACGTCACGCTAACAATTTTTTAAAAATTTGATTTATTTTTTCGTTTTAGAAAAAAGAGTTTGCAGTCAAATTTTTCATAAAGATATTAGTAAAATTGCTGTGAGTTTAGTAAAGATTGTTTATAATCATGCTAGAGAACGTATGCACAGTTTTAAAATTTACAACTTTTATTGAGAAATGTGTGCATCGCTTTTCCGCATTAAAAATGTCCTTTGCATGATTTAGCGTTGATCAATGGATGCGGATCTCCGAGATTACAGGGTTAATTTCAAACCTTTTCCGTGGAACCGAAAGTTCAATTGATTAGTGCATATGGTACTATGGTACACTCATTATTTATATCTAGAATGGTATGAATCAAAACTAGTATTACAAAAAAAAAGTATTATTATCATCCCTTTTGTATGAAAATGTTTAGTCCACCCCCTCTACGTTTGTGTGTGTGCTTGTGGGAAATTCAAATGATCCCATTCAAGACCATCCTATTCCCCCCCCCCCCTTATCTGTTAATTGTATGACAGCCCCCTCCCCCAGATATAAATATTATGCTAGATCCCGTAGATCCCGTTCACATATCAAACAATGAGTGTCAAAGCTCTCTTTCCCGGTCTTAAAATAAGGGACTGAGGAGAAGCTTCTTTTTTTTTTCGTATTTTTTTGTAGTTTTTTCTTGTTTTTCGTCTTCGCCAAGCTAGTAAATGTCTCTCACCCGTTTCGCCAGCCGACGAACACGCTTGTCCGCCATCTTTGACCTCAGGGTAAAGACCCGCAATCCAAATATTGAATTATATGGTTCCATATATGGGGTGACCTTTCTCAACTCCAACTTTGACACTAATGTATGGAGCAAAACTTGATATGCAAAAAGGACACAAACATAACAACATAAACAACACAACAGCACGAAAAAACATTATTTCAAAAATCACTGATTAATTTAAATTATTTCTAAACGGGTACCATTATATACAAATATTTTATACACTGCCTGTGTCATGCGTTTCGTCGAGATTCCCCATGTTCTATTTTTGTCACGAGGGGGGAGGGGACGAGGGGCTATTTCCTGTGCAGGTTAGAAGATGGTTGCGGTACTGACGGTTCAGGCCTGTCATCCAAAACTTAAGCACGATTTCATCTTCTGGTTTAGTGCCTAATACTTGAAGTAGTCTGCAACAAAAGTCAAAAGAGCACACTTATAAATTGATGTATTTATTTAACTAACTAGTTATTTATCTCAATTGTTTATGTTGTAAATGTATTGCTTTACTGCGATTTACGATATATGGATTATATATATTTTTCCTTTTATTTCTAATTCCTTCCATCTCTTTCTCATTCCATTTAATTTCTCTGTTTTCTTCAGTTTCCTTTTTTCCAGATCCTTCCATTAGATTGCCTTCACTTCTATCTGGCTCTTCTTTGTACATCTTTTCCCTTCTTTTTCTTTCCCTCTCTTTACTCTTCTTTTCCTTTTCTTTTTTCTGCTAACTCAATCTCCCTTCCCTTCAGCTTTCATTTCAATTTTTTGTTCGCTTTCCCTTGTTCTTCCCTTTCTTTTCTTTTCTTTTCTTCCCTTTCTATTTTCGTCCTTACTTTTCTTCTGGTCCACACACTTCTCCCTGCCCAATACTCTACTTCGCTTCACTTCCCTTTCCTTTCCTTCCCTTCCTTTTCTTTTCCTTTCTTTTGACTTTTCCCAGTAGACTTCACATCCCTTCTCTTCTCTTCATTTCAAATCTTGCAAGTAAATCTTACTTTTCCTTGTCTTCCTTGCTTGTTGGCCCTGACCTCGCAAACTTGAAAACAACTTTCACTTTGCTAAATAAAGACAAAAATATACCGTTATTTCATTGTATATGAAACAGTTCGGCATAGTTTGGAAGAACAGAGTGACTGACAGCTTGAATTTGAATTTAAAGTTGACACAAACTATATTCGTTACTTTGTTGAGATCTTGCGATCAGTATATCAAGCTAGATTACTTACTCCATCCATTCTTCTTTCAGGCAAAGCAACATCTGCTCCAGCACTTTGTCAGAGATATTATCAATTGACAGACAGTGTTCTATTTTATGTAAGATTGTTGGGGCTGTAAAATGAAGAAGATAGATTTTATGTAGACGCTTTCTCGCTTCATGTCTTCTCACAATCAAGGGTCGTGTAGCAGTAGTGTATTTCCCTGAGTGTTTGTTAGGTTTTCTCCCTTTATTCGAGGATTTTTCTCCAGGTTACTCCGGTTTTCCTCCCTCTGCGAACCCCAACATGCTAAATTTCAATTTGATCTGAGTTTTAGCCATGCCCAGACTTAAATCAGCCTAGAGGTTGTTTCAGGGTTCAATCTTTGAGTTAGCCATGACCTGACTTAGATCAGCCCAGAGATTGTTCCAGGGTTCAATCTGTGAGTTAGCCATGCCCTGACTTAGATAAACCCAGAGGTTGTTCCAGGGTTCAATCTGTGAGTTAGCCATGCCCTGNCCCTGACTTAGATAAACCCAGAGGTTGTTCCAGGGTTCAATCTGTGAGTTAGCCATGCCCTGACTTAGATAAACCCAGAGGTTGTTCCAGGGTTCGATCTGTGAGTTAGTGGTGCCCTGACTTAGATCAGCCCAGATATTGTTTCAGGGAATTGGTAAAAGTTTTTTCATCAAGATATCAATAATTTCAAGGACTTACATGGCGCACTTTCTTTTCCACAAACTGTAAAATCATAGTCGGTAAAAGTTTCTTCACTGAGAAAATAAAGATAATACAGTACCATAGATTTGTTAGGGGCACCTCCACATAACTGAGGTCTTTCAGTAATTGAAGAGGGCTTACCTGTCTGAGGAGTTTTCACTTTGCTCTGTGATCTGTAAAAAAATGAATAGAGGAATATAAGGATAAAAACTAGGAAAGCAATTTGTATAAAGAAAAAAATACAATAAATGAATAATGAATGAACGAACGGATGAATGGAATGAACAAATCAAATGAATGGAAGGCCTATGGGTGTGTGGAAGGATGGTCAGATGTGTGGGTGGGAGAGTGGATGGATGGATGGATGGGTGGGTGGGTGGATGGATGGACTGATGGGTGTGTGGATGGATGGATGGTCAGATGGGTGGGAGGATGGATGGATGGTCAGATGGGTGGGAGGGATGGTCAGATGGGTGGGTGGATGGATGGTCAGATGGGTGTGTGGATGGATGGATGGTCAGATGGGTGGGAGGATGGATGGTCAGATGAGTGGGTGGGAGGGTGGATTGATGGATGGAAGGAAAGAAGGATGGATGGTCAGATGGGTGGGTGGATGGATGGTCAGATGGGTGTGTGGATGGATGGATAGTCAGATGGGTGGGAGGATGGATGGTCAGATGAGTGGGTGGGAGGGTGGATTGAATGATGGAAGGAAAGAAGGATGGATGGATGGATGGACGGATGGATGGATTAATGGATGGATGTTCAGATAGGTGGATGAATGGGTGGGTGGGTGGATAAATGATCAATTGGATAGGAAAAAGGATGGATGGATGGGATAGATATATATGAATAAATGGGAACGGTTGATTGCACAAGCGATAAACATCTAACCAACATACATGATGTATTGGATGATTTATATCCAAGAGAACAAAAAGATCTGAAGACAAAATGTGGACAGGAATCTCTACACTTGGGGCCAAACCAAGAAAATTACATCTCCAGGAATCCTACAAAAATATGTAGACAAAACATTAATGACATACCATTGAATGCATTGATCTGCTGTCAGTTATAATCATGAAACATAGTGGCCTATAATGATGTGAATATATGTATGCATACCATAAACCTTCGGAAATAAGCGCTAACTCAATGTTCATGGTTGGGAGGCATATTTTCAGGGTCGGCTTATAGCACTACATGGGTGGATCCAGGATTTTGTTCAGGGAGGGGTGCTGCACACAAAGTTAACCCAGGGAGGGGTGCACCCCTTAGAATTAAAGGGAAAAAACAATATAGGTTGTCTTCGAAGTAGGGGCACAAGGTGGAAGCAAGGTGGGAGGGGTGCGCACCCCCTGCATGTCTCCCCTGGATCTGCCCCTGCACTAGTTGCTGTGACGTAAGTTATAGTCATCACTATGCCAACCAGAGATCAATTCACAAAGCAGCTTGACAAGAACTATTGTGATAATGGTTATCAAATGAACATCACAATGCTAATTGTAAGCATGAACTAGTGTTAATTGAGGGGGGAAACAGACTGGGGAATTTTTGGAAGACACTTTGGGTCTCTCAAACTACCATATTTWGTGTTGTTATCTGTGTTTGTCTCATTTGCCAGTGAAAAAAGGGAGTTTACCTTGTACTCTGTACTGTATGGGATGCAATTACAACAGCCACTAGGAATGAGAATCTAACAATGAAATAAGAAGCATATATTAAAGCCTTTAACATTTTGGGTTGTTTTCAAAAATATCCATATCTTTCCCATGGCCATGGAGCTCGAGTGGGATCAGAATTTCCTGGAAGGAACGGAATGTCTGACCTGAAGCTGTTATGTGTTGCTCTCCCATGGAGTGGGGGGTTGGAATTTCCAAGCGATGTTGATCTATATTGTATGGTTCCAGAACATATATCCACACCTCCCCAGTGGATGGAGGGTGATCAGAATTCCCAAGGGGTGGTGAGGGTTATAGATAAGCCTACCCTGGTATATTGTACAGTTTCCAAAAATATCCATACCTCCCCCATGGAGGGGGATAGGAATTTCCAAGGGGGGTTAAGGCTTAGTCTGAGGAGAGTATATTGTGTGGTTCCAGAACAAATCTATACCACCCCGTCCCCTGGAGGGGGTCAGAATTTCCTAGGCATAGGGATGGTCTGCAGGAGAAGGCATTTACAAGTACTAACCTTGAGAGCATTCAATGCTGATGCAACAGTCTTCCTGTCCCTACCCCTGACAATAAGTTGATTGCCTTGAATCACATGATATGCTAACATGTGAAACTGTCTGGTGCCAAGAATCTAAAAATATAAAATAACCCACTCAGCTCTCACATCACCTCTCTCCACCAAGTCATAGAAATGGTTACCACAAAGAAAATTGCTTTGGGCAAGTGGTGCCTGACATAGGCATAGCCAGGATTTTCCAAAGGAAAATCTTAAAAGCCACCACTTTGTTGCCACGAATAGAAAGGGTGGGGGTGCTCGGCCTCCCCCTTGCCTACGCCCCTGCTGGAGGTGCTGCTAAACTGAGCACCCTGTTTGACAGTAAAAAAAATTTCACCAATAAGACTCAAGTATCTCTGATATTTTCAACTGGGACGGACTTCACCTTTAAGGGTCATTTAATGCTTTTAGGTCCTTTTACAATATATTATAGCGCAGCGCACTGATTCTAAAATAGCTTAAAGATTCGAACAAACCTTGCATTCTGTTTAACCACTACGAACTGATTTCATTATTTTTACTTAAAGTTACAATAACAACCCATGTAAACTAAGATCAACTGTGATTGGCTGTGAAAATTATCTGCTGAAAGTAAATTTGTAAGTTTGTTTGTCCAAATTTCGCCTTTGTCTTCGTTTTTATGACGTCATGGTTGCACTGCTCTATTACACAGTCATCCTTGTCATGACTTCTAGACTTACCTTAACCATGTGTCTTAGTGATGTAAAGAGAGGAACAGGCTCACTTGATTCTGTTAATAAACAGGAACATACAACTGCTATAAATTTCATATTTGAGTTTTGGAAGGGAGTGAAATAAGAAAATATTAAACAATCTGACTTGTAAATTAAAGTAAAGAAGATGACTCACCATCATGTTCACTTAAATCTGAGGTGAATTCTGACTCATGATCGTCAGCAAGAAGTTCTTCCTGTGAACAGAATGACAATATGAAATTACTGCTTGGGCAATCTATAAAACACATCTTTCTTGTGCTGAAGGATGGGAGATTCTTCAGAAGGGAGGTTAGGCCAGCTTTCATGGAGGATTTTCAATTGATTTCATTTTTCTTAATTTTTCTACTAAAAATTAAGCATTCCCTCATGGGCGCATTTGATCATATTCACATGCAAATTTGCACCATATAAGTATTAAATCATTGTTATTGTTATTAGGGTGATAAGTGCATGGACATGAATCCACTGATCCTGTCTTAGATCCACAATTTACTAGCAGTATATTTTGGGCTTTGTAATGTAACTGCAATACAGTATGCCTTACCTTTGGTGGACCTTCCAACAGTTTTTCTGAGATGCGATTACCACAAGCTTTCAGCATCCATGCAAATCTTTGATGCAACATTGCAAAAAGATTCTAAATGAAACAAAGGCTTCATGGATCAATTTACTCACTCGCACATGCTGCACAGTACATGAAAAGAAGCACAAGTGGATCCAAGAGTTTCTTTTTTGGGGGGGGGGGGGGGGGGGGGGGGGCTGAGGGGTTGAGGTTGTTGCTAGTTCTAATCTCCCCTACAGCTGTTCTTACTGTAGTGTCGTCATGCAATGCTCGCTCTCCACAAATGGGGAGTGTGTAGTGGAGAGTCAGCATTGCGCGATGACAATACTTCTCTTCCCAGTAGACCGAGGTAATTGTGATTTTTTAATCGCCTTCGTAGCGTCTGTTATGTTATGCGCAGGTACATTTCAAATTGACCACGTGATGCCAAGGTTGTACCACGAGGACAATATTTTTACACCACGTGATCAAAATTCAGTCAAGTTTTAATCACGTGGTGTAAAAAACTTGTCCTCGAGGTACAACATTGGCATCACGTGGTCGATTTGAAATGTACTTGCGGATAACATAACAGACGCTACGAAGGCGATTAAAAAATCACGACTACCTCGGCCTACTGGGAAGAGTAGTAAGAACAGCTGCTGGGGAGACTAGCTGCTACCACAAATGACAAGAATCTTAAATTTTCTTTTTTTTTCTTTTCTTTGATATCAATTTTGACTTAAATTGCCGCCACCAATTGCTGACTAAAAGAAAGCAGGGTTAGGTCTTGATTAAAAATTGGCAAAGATTGGGGGGCGGAGGGGCAGAAAGAAGGGGAGATAGTTACGTTTGTTAACCCAATTTGTCACACTATTCCTAATATGTACCACAAATACCTTATCCTTTAAGAGATCTGATATGGAGCGATACACTTTGTGCCCACCACGCTGCCTACGGAACTGGTCTACAATGGGAAAAACACGTCATCAAACAACAATATGCACCTGAGTCCTTTTAATTTAGGGATAAATATTTCCCATTTCATATACCTGCATGTGTCGTTTTCTAGAGTATCACAAGAAACACATGAATATATGGATACAAATGGATCAAAAAACCTAAATTGGTCCACAAGGGCGGATCCAGCCAAAATTGGGGGGGGGGGGGGGGGGGACAGCATAATTTTGC